CTCATCTCTACAATAAATAAAAAAAAAATTAGCCGGGTGTGGTAGCGTGCGCCTGTAGTTCCAGCTACTCGGAAGGCTGAGGTGGAAGGATCCCTGGAGCCCAGCGGCTCGAGGCTGCGGTGGCCGGGAGCGGCTACTGCATTCTAGTCTGGGCAACAGAGTGAGACCCCAACTCAAAAAAAAAAAAAAATCATCTTCAGTTTACAAATGAAGAAACCGCCGGGCTTGGTGGCTCACCTGTAATCCCGTGCCTTTGGGAGGCTGAGGTGAGTGGATTGCCTGAGCCAGCAGGTTCGAGACCCGCCTGGGCAGGCGAGACCTCATCTCCACAATAAAATAAAAAAATCAGCCGGGCGTAGCGTGTGCCTGTAATTCCCGCTACTTGGAAGGCTGAAGTGGAAGGATCGTCGGAGCCCAGCAGGTCGAGGCTGCGGTGGCCAGGAGCGGCCGCTGCACTCCAGTCTGGGCGAGTGAGTGAGACTCCAACTTAAAAAAAAAAAAAAAAAAAATGAAGAAACCATAGCAGAGAGAGGTTAAAAAGTTGCTTGCCAGCCGGGCTCAGTGACTCAGCCTGTAATCCCGTGCCTTTGGGAGGCTGAGGTGAGTAGATTGCCTGAGCCCACAGGTTCGAGATCCGCCTGGACAGGCGAGACCTCATCTCTACAATAAATCAAAAAAGTAGCTGGGCGTGGTAGCGCATGCCTGTAGTTCCAGCTATGTGGAAAGCTGAGGCGGAAGGATCGCTGGAGCCCAGCAGGTCGAGGCTGCGGTGGCCAGGAGCGGCCACTGCACTCCAGTCTGGGTGACAGTGAGATTCCTACTCAAAAAAAAAAAAAAAGTTGCTCAAGGAGAGGATTGCCTGAGCCCAGGGGTTCAAGACCAGCCTGGGCAACTTGGCGAGACCTCATCTCTATAATAAATAACAATAATACAAAAATTTGGCAAGACCTCGTCTCCACAATAAATCAAAGAAAATTAGCTGGGTATAGTGGCATGCACCTGTGGTTCCAGCTACTTGGAGGGCTGAGTCAGAAGGATCACCTGAGCCTAGCAGGTCAAGGCTGTGGTGGCCATGAGTGTGTCACTGCACTCCAACCTGGGTGACAGAGTGAGACTCCAACTCAAAAAAAAAAAAAGTTAAAAACTTGCTCAAGGTCAACAACTAGTAAGTCAAATTTGTTAAGTTATACTTGAAATGTTAAAATGCAGGGAGTCTCTGCTCTTAACTACCTTGCTTTACTGCCTACTATTGTACTATTACTATTGTATAACAGGTCCTGGGCTAGATGACTAGTATATTGGCAAAATGTAATGAAAACTGCAGAAATGTATTCAGGAAAACATCCTCATATTCCCATTACCCAAAGAAAACTAGCTTTAACTATTATAAGATGCATGGTTTTTTTGTTGTTGTTGTTGTTTTTTGTTTTTTTGAGTTGGAGTCTCACTGTCACCCAGACTGGAGAGCAGTGGCCGCTCCCAGCCACTGTAGCCTCGACCTGCTGGGCTCCGGCAATCCTTCCGCCTCAGCCTTCCGAGTA